ACAAATTTGTAAACTCCTAGTTTAACTATTAATTCAGAGTATAGAAACTAGGTTTGACATTGTGTTCAACGATGACGATTCAATGCTTTTGACATGTTTTCACCCTAATTTCAAGTTCTCCTGGCTTTCAGAGAATTGGAGGGACCAAGTTCAACAAATAATGATCACAAAGATAGAAGAAACTACATTTCTAAAACACTTAGTGATTTTTTACATAAAAGTAATTTTGAATTATGCTGCATATCATGTAAGATGTAGTCTTCATATCAAAATGTTCAATATTCATACTTAAAAATGTAACAGTAGTTTGATATGTCCCAAATTCAAATTCTTGATATGTGGAAGTAAACTTTATTTGGTGTCTTTATTTCTTTCTTCCTACAAGTAACTTAATTCAACAAAAAACAAGTGTTTAATTCTTACTGTTGTGTTATTTTCTTGGTCATGGATTTCTTTCAGAGTAATCAGTTAGGGCACCCAGTAACTGGAGGTTCAAAGGATATTAAGTTACAGAGTTTGTGTTGAGTATGTTGGATTGGTGAGAGAGAGAAGGGAAGTTAAATCTTTTTGAGTTCTCTCTCACCAGTCCAGTGTGTGTGTGTGATCCCTTCCTCATTAAACTAAAAGTTACAAAAGAAAATAAACCCAAAAATTCAATGAAAAAAAAACAAGAAGTTTTTAAAAGTTTAAAAAATTTCAGCAAAATGCAAATGTTAGGGAAAAAACAAAATAAAGAAAAATCTTAATCTTAGTAGAAACTCAACAAAGTGGAACCTGGAATTAATACAAAACACAATAATATTACATAAAACCAAGTTGCACACAAAATGCTATTTAGCAGGTGACCTCTGTCCACTCATACTTGATGCTAGGGTGGGGAAGCCACACAATCTTACCCAAATCATTGATGTAGCATGCTATTTTTCCTGCAAGAAACTGTTAATTGCAAGTTGGAGAAGATGCCCCATACAGAGCTAGAAAAGAGCAATGTTTAAGTTGTATTTACTCAAATGATTTTTTACATCCAAATTGAACTGAAAAAACAATGCAAATTTCAGAAAATTTACATATTAACTTATGGAGGAGAAAACACATGGTACCATCCTCTACTACACCAAAAAATTTGTCTAAAACAAAATTCAAGTACTTAAGATGTATAGGATTAAGACCTTCTAAAGCTGAAGGATGTGTTTTTGGGAAACTCATTCTAATAGCTTGAGTTTTTCAGTTATTTGGAATAAAACGTTCAGAAAAGTGTTTTCTATATTTTTATACCACAAAAACATATTGAAGTTACATACTACAACATCATGGAACCTAAAAGACTATTTTTAGTGGTTCCTAACATTTTCTTTCCAGTACAGGGGTGCTAGAAGCTAACTAAGTGGGGCAGGGAACTGTTGCTGCTTTTTATCTTAATCATTGCACATGTTTGCCATATTTTTTTATGACTAAGGATGTGTCTGGTATCACTTTTTTGTGCATGCACATTGAAGTGTAAATATTATGAGGGATATGTTTGCACTAACTTAATTCTTCATATATAATACAGAGTGATTATTATAAAACTCTTTATTTTTTTTAATAAATTGACATGATTAGTGATTAGTATTGATAAACATGAAATTTTTTTTACTGCATATGCTTGCTGTCTATTACCACTTGGGATACAAATATCAATAGACATGCCAAAAAAAATTAACTATGGCATGAAACAAAATTGCAAGCATTTAGCATCAGATTGTTACTGACCAATGAAAAGGAAACAATTTTTACGATGTACTTATAAATGTTATACACATTTCACTTGATACAGTTTGTAGATCTATGAAGTTCATAGCTATGTATGTAATATATGGCCTACAGTGAGTGTATATAACACACAATTTAGTATATGAATTATCTCTCAGTATTGGCTACACCCAATTGAAGTATTTTTAGCCTGGACTTACTCATGTGCATATGAATTATCTATTTCTGTTTAATTTAGGAGAGGAATGCTGAGAGTGCAATTGAAGCTCTTAAGGAATATGAACCAGAAATGGGTAAAGTTATTCGTGAAGACAAGCAGGGCATCCAGAGGGTCAGGGCGAGAGAAATTGTTCCTGGTGACCTTGTGGAAGTATCAGGTATGTAACCAGTTACAGTAGGTCAATAAGTTGTCCTTTTCATCTTTTTTGTCTACTAACTTTGCTTGATTCGTTGATAAATTATTATTAAATAATAATAATAATTTGTTCATGAAATTATATATGCATCAATAATTGTATGTTGTTTGGTCAGTTCGTTTTTTGATAGTTTACATGTGAGTAATTCATGGGTACATTTGTCAGTTTTTTTTTTGTAAAGACCTGTAGATTTATTATTATTGTCACTTGTTTCTTGCTGGTCAAGATACTTTGCTCTTTAAGCAAGAAGTAAGTATCAGTATTTACAATTGAGTGTTGGTTATATTGCCTTTCGATAACTTATTGGGGTTTACTTGTAGTAATAATCTCAAATTACTTATTCTTGCTGTTAGGGAAGAGAGCCAATTAATTAACATCTCAAAATTAATATATTAGCCACTTATTTCTTAGACAGTAAGTTACTTTTAAATGTAATATGAATAATTAGTTCTACATTTCAAAATCTTCACACTAAACAAAACATTTTAAATATGCTTAGTCTGACTCTTGGTGGTTATTGTACACAATTTGCATATTAGTCAAACCTGTAACTAGGCTCCTGATATATTTCAGGAGGGGCCTGGCATGGCTAGGTGGTTTGGCATTCGACTTGTAATCTGAGGGTCGTGGGTTTGAATCCTTGCCCCAACAAACATGCTAGCCCTTTCAGCTGTGGGGACATTATAATGTGATGGTTGGTCCCATTATTTGTTGGTAAAAGAGTAGCCCAAGAGTTGGTGATGGGTGATAATGACTAGCTGCCTTCTCTCTAGTCTTTCACTGCTAAATTTTGGATGGCTAGCGCAGATAGCCCTCATGTAGCTTTGTGTGAAATTCGAAAACAAACACAAATAGTTCAGGAGTTTTGCCAAAACCCATCTTTAATAGTGAAAGAAATAAGAAATCAAATGTTTAATTTATAATCTGCTAGTTAGAAGTTAATAGCTTATGTACATGTAACATGTTCCGTCATAGCAGTTAAACATCTCTTAAAACCAATAGAAATAAAATGCACGGAACTTGATTTTCAATTTTTTTTATGATTTCTAGTTGGTGATAAAGTGCCTGCTGATATTCGACTTGTGAAAATATATTCTACCACTCTCCGGGTTGATCAATCTATTCTGACTGGTGAGATATTTATATATGTGATATTTAATTTATTTTGAGTATAATCATTACAGGAACTGTTTACTCTGTAAGACACACATTACAGTATGTATAAAAGTACTGTATAGATTACTTTCACAAAACCTTTCAGTGTATATACTGAAGCCAGCAAAGCCCACTTGTAAAAATCAAGAGTAATAGGCTGAAAGTTAACATAACGTATAATTTAAGGACAACAAGGGAAAATTAATGTATCTAGGCATTCCATCCAATAAACTTTAAAAAACTCAAGGCCAGCTCATATCTTTCAAATGTTTATCAAGCCTTTCCTTAAACTACCTTACATTTACTGTCTCCACCAAATCTGAAGGCAACCCATTCCATAGGCTAACCACCCTGTTAGGAAAAGAAAATTGTCTTAGCTGAAGATGATTCCTACCCTGCCAAAACTTTTTATTTCTGTTCTCCAGCCCTACCATTCTCACTATTAAATACAAAAAAAGATGATGCATTAACACTATCAGTTCCCTTAACAATCTTAAACACCTCAATCAAATCCCCTCTAACTCGTCATTTTTCAAGTGAAAACAATTTCAGTGATCTTAACTGTCCTCATAGGATAACCTTTCCATTTTAGGTATCATTCTAATAACTCTCCTCTGAATTCTTTCCGACACTTCAGTGCTTTTACGGACATAAAGATCCCAAAACTGGACACAATACTCCAAATGTGGCTTAACCAGTGACCTATACAATGACATTATAACATCTTTAGACTTATTTTCAATTTTTTCGTAGATACAACCTAAAATCATATTTGCCCTGCCGCTAGCAACATTCCATTTTCGATTTCTTGAAGGCTGATCAACTAGAACACCAAGATCCTTTTCTTCCATAACACTGTTAAGGTTACTTCCATCAAATTATACTCATAATTCAAATTGTGATATCCCACTTGCATTTATTATAATTACAAGCTTTTTGCCAAAGTCAACAAGTTGTTCATATCCATTTGTAAAGCAGCAGAATCCTAGTCACAGCCAGTAACACCCAAAAACCTTAATGTTATCAGCAGATTTAAATAATTTATTGACTATTCCTTGATCTATATCATTGTATAAATCCAAAAGAGCAAAGTTCCAACACTGAGCCCTGAGATATCCCACTTCTATCATTAATCCAGTTTCACTAAACTCCATTTATAACAAACTTCTGCTTTCTTCCATCCTGCCACCTTTTTATCCAGTTAGCCAGTTTATCTCCTACACCTACAGAGATAATTTTTTTAATAAGTCTTTTATATGGAATCTTATCATATGCTTTCTAAATACACCAAATCCACTCTCTTACCTTCATCTGCTTAAACAGTAACTTTTCAAAGATTAGTAAGGCAAGATTTTCCCCTAATAAAACCATGTTGGCTATCTAACAAAATTTGAAACTTTGTTAAATGTCTTTTCCCACCAATGGCATAAAACTAATAAGCCTATAATAACTGGAACATTTTTTATAACTTCTCTTGAAAAGAAGAGTTGACAGTTGCCAAACTTTCAATCTTTTGGTATCTGCATGATATAAAAGGACTTAAAAAAGATAGTAGAAATGCTTAACCTCTTTCAAAACTCTTGTGGAAATATCATTCTTTAACCTTTTGCATTGAGTAGGTCAAAGTGCTCATGCCACAACCTTTTTCATAGTTACAATCCAAATTTAATGAAACTGCTTTATTATCAATGTATTCAAACCAACTTGGCATCAAAACGTAGCTAATAAGTCAAATTTTGATACAAGTTTTAAGTTCTTACTTTATAAGGAAATATGACAAAAAAATTTCAATCTCCTCTAGTATGAAAATTGTTTACATTTACTCTCTAGGTTTTCCTCATCTCTAATTTATACACCATTTGTCTGAGAAGTGTGGAATTTAATGTAAATTACTTAATATAGTATAGTTATTACTTGGGCAAACCATAAATTTTATAGCCTTCTATCTTATTTTTTACAAAGCCATGAACTAGAAAAGTTTAACTTCAATATGTGCAATTATTAAAATAGTGGACTAAATAACTATAACTTAGGTGGATTCTTGCAATGAATGAAAGTCAAATAAAAATAATCATTGTGATATCGATAGGCCAAGCAGGTTGTTTCAGAATAGGTCTGATCTACTCATCACTACAACACTGTAAAATGACAAGCAAAGGCCTTTTGGTGTGCCTAACCGAACTTCACTACCAGGAAATGGAGGCTATATTTATTTACTTTCACTGCAAGGAATGTATACTAACAATCACATGATATCAACAACCATTTGATAGTATTGCTTGAACTCCCTGCCTTTGGTCCCGTCTGATTCTAAAGATGTACTGATTGGTTGAATTGTAAGAAAGAAGAAAACCAAAATGGCACAACATTAGTAACTTGTTGGGATTATAGATGATTCGGTTAAGCAGGACATTAGGAAATCAAAAGGTATATGAAAATAACTAACCTGAAAATGTAAAGATTGACAGTAAGGATTTTTTAAATATATTAAGGGTAAATCAGATGTTAGGATGGGAATAAGGCCTTTGAGAGATGATAAAGAAAAGCTCATTTCTGTTGATTATAAGATGGTTATGTTATCAAACATTAATTTTCTTCAATTTTTGTAAAAGAAATTTTAGGCAATATTCTTCATCCTGAACAGTTGCTAGACGAAAACAACTGCAAAAAAGATGATCACATTAATTCTGAGCTTGTGCATTTTACATGATGTTATAACCATCGTATGACCATGGTGGTAATACATACTATGACTCTGAAAGTCTTTAAGGTGTCTTCAAAAAAATCTGGTAAGCTTTCAGTAAACATGAAAAGTCTTTTGCAGACAAAAAATTTATACAGTGCCAATATACTGACTGCTTCAAGTGCAAAGCGACTTTCATTTCAGGATTAAAAGTACTTTTCTTCATCTGAACATTTTCATTTGCATAATCCCTAAAACCTCCTAAATCAGACCTCGACAAACCCCTGGCACCAGATCACCATGGCAACTTACAATTTCATTGTGGTGCTTAGTATTTTATTCATGCATAGGGATTTGCTCAACAGAATTCAAATCTAGAACATTTTTGCACTCTTGAAAGTCTGGAACTATTTTCACATTCTTTGAGTTGGAAATCAAACTTTGTTTCTAGGATTTTTATGGCAGATTCAACATTTCTTACTAAGTCTCTTGTCATAGCAGTCAATTTAAACTTCTTAAATTTATAACACTCATCACTAATTTTATCCTTTATACTATTTGTGAGCCAACCTGGTATTTTACTCGTACCTACCCTTTTTTTTTATATAAGAAACATGCCGATCTTGAATATTTAAAAATTTATTCTGAAAACTTTCTACATTTGATCAATATCTCCAAGTAATACAGTTGCTCAATTCACAACACATAATTATTGTCACATCCCTTCAGAGTTTGCTTTTTTTCAAACTTGTAACCAAAATCTCACTATTCCTGATCTCCATATGCAGTAAAACATCAAAGCTAATTGAGCAGTGATTACTTGTACCCAGATGTTCCCCATTCTCCATCCTATATTTCTATATTAGAAGTTAACAATAAATGTAATATATCATTATTCTTAGTAGGTTCTTTGACCAATTGGTGAATAAAACTGTCGTGATTGATTTCTGGAGATGTGTCTTCCCTCATTTTTTTTGTCTGAAGTTTCTTATCTATATGCCTAAAATTAAGATTCCCCATAATTAGAACCTCATTAACAGCTGAAATCTTAATTTCTCTGCAGAGTGGCTTATTAATTTCCTTAGTTTCATCTTATGGTTTGTAACATATTGTAACAAAAAGTTATTCCCATTATATCTAAATCCCTTGTTCTGACTAGTCCTCAAAAGTCATCTATTTTATTTCTTATACTTCTAGCATTAAAATAGTAACAGTTTATCCTACCCTTAAAACTACTTCTGTACTTTATTCATACACTATACTTTTCTCTACATCTATTTTTTTTCTTTATTAAGTTTCCCCTGACCCTCACATCTGTCTAGTCTTAGTTTAGAGCTGCTCTTAATAGCTCTTGAAAACAAGCTAGCCCCTAACCAATTTAGATATAAAACATTATCCATCCCAAAATACTTTCTTTTCCAATCAACTGATCCCACAAGTCCAACCAATCAGTTTACTTGTTAAACTAAGCGTAGAATTAGTTCTAGAGCTTTAGTGAACTTCTTATAATCTCATCCCCAACAGTAAACCAAAATAAATTATGGGCCTTTAAATTTAACAAATTGGAAAGATGTTGGGAGCCATAACGATACTCAAATTTATCACATTATTTGAAAGCCTCATCTGCATCAAGAAAAATAAACCAGATTTTTTTTTCTTTGTTGTTTTAACTGGTTTCAAGTGAATCATCATTGTTAGGATAAACTTACTGAATTGAAAGTTTTTCTGAAATTTTAATCTATTTGAAATTAGTCAAATCACATTGTTTACGGTTTATTTGATACACACAACCAGAGGTATCAGAATCTTGGTATTTTGAGTTTTACATTAGTGAAACCCACAGACAAGTCTCTACCCATGTTAAAGAACACAACAACCCCCTCCTATGTTTATGAACATATGTCCAAGCATGTTCATTTGTTTCAACCCAATGATGTTGAAATTCTCAATAGAGAAACAAAAACTATAAAGAGCTTGAACTTAATATTATATGTATCTTTTCTAACCATAGTTGAAAACAACTGAGGTTGAATTGCGGTATACATATGTTTTATCTTTTCTGTTTTTATGGTGAATTTATAAAATAATATAATCAGATGATATTAACCTTTGAAAATGCCTAACATATATTAGAATTGCATTTGAAACACACATGTCAGAATGTAAGATATTCAAAACTGTATTTCTGTAACTTATCTTAATGGTTACAAGAATTTAAACATTCTAATAGCATGTAATACACAATAGTGGGAAAAATCTAAATTAATGTTTTCAACCACTGTTTCAGAATAACATTAAATTGATTTGTATACAGTCTTCAACACTTTCACATGTCTTCTGTCTAAGAGAGAAACACATACATTGTTAATTTACAATTGAAGTTCCAAGTCCTTTAACAACATATGATGTCGGGGGGGGGTAACTTAAATTGACCTTCAGTAGTATTTGAAATGAAGTTCAGCAAGCCTTGGATGTAAAAACCATCCACAATTTTTCTTTTGAAATAATTTCCAGTTTTTGTATAGTAATTTAGCTGATTTCCAGTTGATTTTATGATCAAGTTTACTTATATATAGAAAAATAGCAGTAATTGTTTGACTATTTGCAACATCTTTTTTTATTGTTCTTGTTAAGCTCAACCAATCAAATACAAATGTATCCATCCACTAGTTTTTCATATTATGTACAGTGGGAGTTCACTCTGTGTAGTTGTTAACAAAATCTGCATATATATATATATATATATATATATGTATTTAAAGCATATTTCTGTTTTTAAACAGTATATGTTTATCATGCTATCTCGGGGATAATTTTCAATGTCTTGGCTAATATTGGGAAGGAATTTAGGAATGGCCATAAATGTGTTAAAAAATGTTAGCTTTATTCTGTTAAATGTAGTGCTATGAACTGTTGTTTAGACATTTGTTTGACAAATTAAACTTAATTGTGCTTCAGGTGAATCTGTGTCTGTTATCAAGCATACAGATCCTATACCTGATACCAGGGCTGTCAACCAAGATAAGAAAAATATCCTGTTTTCTGTGAGTTACTTGTCTTTCTTTATTGTTTATTTAAAAAACAAATTGTGGAAGTTCACTAAAGTAAATTTTTTATTAGCAAAAACTTAGAATCCTAAAACATTTTTATGATTATTACATAAAAATATTATATGTGAATTATGTATTTCTGTATTTATTTTTGTCACATGTAGGTTATATAGACATATTTTTTTAAAATATGGCATATTGTCAAATATAGTTTTAATGCTAATGACAAAAGTAATAACATATTTAGGATATAATGTATAATATTTCAGGTCATTAACTGGGAGCTGAATTCCTTCATAATATGTGTTTATAATCTTTGTAATGTTTGAGACATAATACAAAAGAAAAACTTG